TAAGGTAATAGGGAGACATAGTCTTATTGCAAACTACTCTCTAGTCCCTGCTCTGACTCCAAACACCCCCCCATAGTCTTCCTCAGCTTCCAGGGCAGTCCCATAGTGTTCATCGCTGTCAGATTCCACCAACAGCTCAGCGGGCTGCTGTTGGGCCACAACAGGTATGTATATCCAATTTCCAATTTTTAATCATAAACACCTAAGTCGGGATATCTAAAGGTCCTCAATATCAAAAAAATGGATGGAGGTGAAAGGGAACAGAGAATAGAATATGCAGTAATGTTCAGTCTTATCTATCTCTTCTGGCTGAATGTAATGATCAAGAATGAGACCATAGCAATTGGCCACATATTTAAATGAGGTAATACAGTACTCCAAAAGTTTGTGATAAAAGCCAGAGTTAAGATGAAAATTCTTCATTCAACTTTCCTAAGTTCTTAAAAAACAAAAACAAAGTATTATTAAAACTTTAAAATCTGACTTTCTTTAAAAAGAATAGCAAGTGGAAAAATGGGCAATCATGGGATAAAAATATATACTGATGAATATTTCTACCAGTAATCCTAGCTAGTACATGACTAGTCTTTGGATTTCCAAATTTCCCTTCTACAGTATGTCTATTTCACTATATATTTTCAATACAAATATAACATAGTTGCAAAGAAAAAGTTAAGAGTACAGCTCACCCGTTGCAATGAAAGTTGACATGAGAAACATAAACAGGAAACATTTTTAAAATGAAAATATCAATAAAGATATACAAGAACAAAAGAGAAATTATACAAGGCACATGAAAAACCATAAACATTTGCCTAAAGCATAAAATCTGAGAAAAAAAAATCTTGTCTAACAATCTCCAATCGAGTCTTGATCTCTGTTAGCAGGGAAAGAAAGCACAAAGCAGGACTCACTGTTCCTCCCCTGACATGAAAGCAACCGTCCTCATATTCAAAAATCTATTCGATCTCTATAGAATAGGAGGGGACTGAGAAAAATAACAGCTGCATCATAAATGCATGAGCAACCTATTACCTTATACTCGTGGTTTGCATCTGATAATTGCCATTCGGAGTTAGGCACACCCATCCGACCATATTCTTCTGTTAGGTCAATGATTTGCCAGCCTCGCACCCTCTCTTCCTCGTTTTGCTTCGGATTATATGAAAAGGCATATAATTCGTCGTACCTTGCTAAAACAGGGAGGAAAAAGAAAAAAATTGAGCTTGACCTTGGCTCTTTTAGTTCTTTAAAAAATAATAATCAGAGCACCCTCTGTACCAAACATATTGAAATGAAGAAAGCTGCATCCTAACCTGGTTTTGACAGCTGAAGCAAAGAGTTATAAATATCATGGCAGTCTCTTTCTCTGGGAACAATGAAGTGAACTATTCTGAAGTTCTTGCACTGAATCACTAAGGGGCAGCCAGTAGTAGTCAAAGCCAGTTTCTCCACCGCAGCAATATGATGGTGTAATATCTACAGCATACAGGAAACCACAAAAACTGATAAACAATACCGATAAGGCTCTTTCAAAAATCTTAAGTTTCCAATGAGGATGCATAAAATCTGAATCAGTTTTCCCCATTTTAGCTATCTCCAGATGTACTGACGCTACCTCTCTCAGAATTGGCTATGCTTGTGGGCATTCTGAAAGCTGCAGTACCTAGACATATGGTGAGCATCAGGCTCACACAAGAGGATATACATGTTCACTATAATGAGCATAATTTATTTATTTATTTCTTAGACTTATATACCGTTTCATAGGGCTTTCAGCCCTCTCTAAGCGGTTTACAAATTTTTTTAGCAAATTGAGTCAGCAACTT